ATCAATATAAAAAATAAAAGCAATAGTCTTCCTAGATAGCAACAATATACTACCGAGAAAGAAATCAGGAAAAATATCCCACTCAAATTAGGCAGAAAAAAGGACCCAGAACACACCAGCTAAAGAAAAGGACCTCTACAATGAAAATTCCAAGACATTGAAAAAGGAAATCAAATAAGATACTAGATATTGGGAAGACCTTCCATGCTCATGGATTGTCAGGATTAATATTGTGAAAATGCCTATGCTACTAAAATTGGTTTATAGATTTAATTCAATGCCTATCAAATTTCTGATGTCATATTTCACAAATCTAGAAGGAAAAAAAATACAATAATTCATGTGGAACCACACAAGACTACAGATACCCAAAGCAGTTCCAAGGAGTAAGACTACAGCAGGAAATATCACAGTACCTGACTTCAAGTTACACTATAGAATTAGAGTGACAAAATCGGCCTGGGTTGGCCCAAAAACAGACAGACTAATAGAGGGCCCAGAAATAAATCAAAAAAGCTATGGCCACCTAATTCTTGACAGGTAAAAATACATAGTGATGGGGGGAGATAGCCTATTTTATAAATGGTGTTGGTAAAACTGAACCTCCACCAGCAGAATGAAACTAAGTATTCATTATTTAATTTTTAAATATTCTTATTTAATTCTTTTACTTGAATGCATCATTTTTGTCTCTGTAGTTATTTGAACCCAGCCAAGCCTGCCCCCCACTATCCTCGTTCATACTTTATTGGGTGGTATTTCACTCTAGGCCTTCCCACTCTGCTGAAGATCTCTCCCACGTATGAGCCTCTTACCTCCTAACACCTCCACTCTTAGTTAACTTCTTTTTTGGTGGTGGGGGGGGGGCAGAATCTGTCTTGCTTGCCTGGAATTTGCAAGCTAGGCTAATCTCAAACTTCTGACTCTCCTTTCACTTCCTGAACTCTGGGATTACAGACGCGTGTTATTAATACCGTTTTATGCAGGGATGGGGATCAAACCCTGGACCTTATGCATGCTGAGCAAGCACTCTACCACCTGAGCTACATCCTCAGCACTTAGTTAAACCTGTGTTGAACATAGCTTTTGTGCTCAGCACTAGAGATATGAAGATGAGTAAGATGTGGTTGCTGTGGTAGATCTGTAACAGAAGTATGCACAAAATTTATAAGCCAAGGAGCAAGGGAAGTTACTGGAGACAATGACACCATCTCTCTAGAAACTTAAGGCAAATGCAGAGACTCCTGAGGATAGGAGGAATCCACCGGCTCAGCCTGTACCTTATGAAGTAAGGGCAAGAGAAGGGACCTCAATGGTGAGTGGAGGGTCTGCATCAGGACCCAGTAAAACTCAGGATAGTCAGCTGGTGTATTAGTTAGGGTTCTCTGGAGGAACCGAACTGGCAGAATGAATATATAGCAAAGGGAGATTTAGTAGATTGGCTTACAGGGAATGGTCTGGGTGGTCTTGCAATGGTTGAAAGCTTTAGCAGTTCCAATCTGGTACTGAAGACCTGAAGGCTTCCTGGAATGCCTAGGGTTTCATGTTTAAAGAAGCTACTTATTGAAGTCAGGGTAAGATGGCAACAGAGGTAGCATGTACAGTCACAGCAATAACACAGTAAATGAACTTGCTAGTGAGATGTGAAGTTAGCAGGCAAAGAGCAAAAATAGTTCCCTTAATCCTCCTTCTGTCTGGACCACAGGTGGACAGTCCTGCCCATATGTTGGGTGAGTCTTCCCATTTCAAATAACCTAATCAATCCCTTACAGGCTTGCCTCTGGGGTGCTCTAGATCCTGTCAAGTTGACAATGTCACATAGGAGGATCCTAGAATGAGTAGGAAACAGCAATATCAGATAACATGAATGTGTGAGGTTTGTAGCTTTCTTTTTTCCATCAAAGCATAGCAGGTTAGAGCAAGATAGATTGGAGTATAGGAGACTCCAGGGCTTGGTCAGGGGACCAGTCTTTTCAGCTGCTCTCAGTTTCTAGGGGCTACTGTGTGTGGACCTGACCTTGTCCTTGTCTATAACCTTTATAGAGCCTGCTCTGCCTTCTCTTCACCTCCTTTGCTCAACTCCTATGTCTTCTTCACCTCTAGTCTTCTTGCTTCCCTCTCCCTCCCAGATACAGAGTCTGTATCCCAGACTCAGCCCCTGCCTGCCATGTATCTGTACCTGCAGCCAGTCAGGTACTTCTCCTGCTAATTTTACACTGTTTTGGATGGACTGGTCCTTCTTCCAGTGAGAGCCCACAGTGAACCTTACTGTGCGTAGATAAAGTCCAGTACTTACAAGGGCATCAGCCATTTCCTTCTGCCTGCTATCTCCTTCCTCTTCTCACCTCTGTCTAAGACTCAGTGACAGAGCGATGTCCTGCTTTTCTGTGTCCTTGTCAACTGCTGTAGGCTCTAGGCAAATGCCCTATTCTGCAACTGTCTACTTCCAAAACCCTCAGCAGGATCAGTCTCTGATTTATTTTATCTTATTTATAGATTTTGTGGTATTATTATTTGTGCTTTTGTTGTTTGGTTTGTTTTTTAGGGACAGAGTCTCAGGTAGCCCAGTCTAGCCTCCAACTTCTTCTCCAGCCTTCACCTCTCAAGTACTGGAATTACAAACATGCACCAATGCTGCTGGTCTTACATGTGCTGGAAATCCAGCCCAGAGCTTCACACATGCTAGACAAGCACTCTGCCAACGAGGCTATATTCCCCACCTTCCTCTTCCTTGCCTTTTCTCCCAAAGCCCTTCAAACAAATCCCTAGAGTGGCTTTGAACTCCTGGTCCTCTTGCCTTCACCTCCCAAGTGCTGGGGTCATATAGGTGTGCACCACCACACCCAATTTGTGTCTGGTGTGTTGAGATAAGTTCTCACCTTAGCCCAGACTGACCAGCAAATTCTCCTGCCTCCTCTAGGGACCACCATGCCCAGTTTTGGGTTTTGTTTAACTTTTTTGGGATGCTGAGGATTGAACCCCGGGGCCTGCACATATTAGGCAAGCATTCCTTCACTGAGCTACCTCCCAAGGCTCCTCTGGCATTTTCAGTCTATGGAGACATCTTCCTGGGGTACCCCATCGATATCTCCTGAGTGCTCGTCATCTGCAGCCTGGGCTTTGGTTAGGCCTGTGATTCTCCCCCGTACATCCGGTCAAGGGCCCAGGCCCTTGGACCTGTGGATATGAGTTTCTACATGCAGCTTCCACACATTAGCATCTCAGTAAACAAATGTGGAATAAAGCCAAGAGCATTGTTTCAACAAGACCAAAACAAATAAATAAAGCTCCACGAACTAAGTCTTTTCTGATTTCACTGTTGGGAATTTCACATTGAAGTGGCACAGTTATCAGACCTGTGCACATCTTATGTTTCTTATGCTTCTATTACCAGGGTCATGCTGTTTTAGGATGACAAAGGTCCTGGCTCATCTTATGTTTCATTTTATCCTTTGAGGCAAAGTCTTGCTCGGTAGCCCGGGCTAGCCCAGAACTCTTTTGGAAGTCCTCACAGTTGTAGGGCTACTGGCATGGGACACTATACCTGGCCGCCCTGAGTACTCTTTTGTCTTCAATCATTTAACAGTAATTCTCTCTGCCCACATCCTGAGGGCGAATCTCACCAGCTGATATTGGCCTGTTATTCTCTAAATGATGAGAACTCAAATAGCCAGGCAACACAGTTTTGACTTCTGGGAAACACTGTGTTTTATCAGTGACCTCTGTACCACAAAATCTATAGACTTTACCATTCCTCTCTCTCTCTGACTTGGGGTTTCTGTTTTTGTCCTTGTGGCCCACACTTCCGATTCAGTCAGTAGAGCTGACTGTGTTGATGGAAGAGTGAACAGGCCTGCCCAGGCCTGTGGAAAGTCTGCAGATAGAAAAGGGCAGGTCTCCACAAGGCCTTCAAGGCATTGAGTGTAGTCTTATGGGGGTGGGGGCTTCACCTTGTGACTGTGTGAGGCTGTGCTGAGACCTTCAGGGGGCTTCCTATAGCTCTCTCTCTCTCTCCCTGTCTCTCTCTCTGTCTCTCTCTCTCTCTCTCTCTCACACACACACACACACACACACACATTCTTCTCTCTCTCTCTCTCTCTCTCTCTCTCTCTCTCTCTCTCTCTCTCTCTCTCTCTCAGAAAGGAGAAGAAAGCCCTGCAGAAATCCCATGGCTCCCAAGCATACTGACTTTGTTGCTGTCCTTGGAGAGGCAGGGAAGGCAAGAAAGGAGAAAAAGCAAAGCAAGAATTGTCTCAATTCCTAGGGGAAGGTCTGGCTGGTAAGACTAGGAATGCTCCTGTGGTAGGTGGAACACTATTCTTGGGATTAATAGATGTAGATACACCTCAGAGAACTGAGGTTCATGAGTTAAGTTCCTTACACTGATGTTAAAAGCTGGGTGTGGCTGATACATCTGTAACCTTGACACTGGCTAGGAGCAGAGTATAGAGACAGGTGGACTCCTGGAGTTCACTGACCAGCTAGTCTAGCTAGAGTTAAGAGACACTGTTGAAAAGATAAGAAAGATATAGAGAGATGGTGAGAGACACCAACATCAACCCCTGGCCTCCACACACATGTACAAACACATCACAGTCACATACACACACACACACACACACACACACACACACACACACACACACACACACGGATTTTAGCCTAGACTGGCAGGTCTAATCCAAGGCAGAATGAAAATAAAACAAAGAAAATGGTTTATAATAAGGATAAAATAAAACAGGAACCATGGTTGCTTGCCCAGTGGTTACATGCCCTCAGATGTTTGAAATAAGTTCCTATGTCTGCTTTACCTTTGTCCAGTGTCTCCTGGAACAGCTGTGATCTGGGCTAGTTCCACATTCTAGCTCACCACCACTGAAGAACCATCCCTGAGCATCAGTCAGGCCCTCACACTTGGTAGCAATTAACTAACAGGAAGAACTGACATTGTTATTTACTTATGGCCATGATTTTAATGAAGGTCACTTTTTGTTTTTTAGGGAAAAGAAAATGACTTTCCAGACAGCACTGGAGATCCCCTTTCAGGTAAAGGATTGACTGGGGTCACTAGGCATTGGCAATAGCTGGGCAGATACACTAGAGTTATTCAGTGAATGTGTGTATCATTAACTTGTGCTATGCATGTGGCTTTATAATTATTTGACATTCAGCAGTTAGCTTTCATCTGTGTTGATTATAATAGTGTGTGTGCGCATGCATGTGTGTGTGTCTATACATGTGTGTACATGTGTGCATGCATGTTTTTGTGTGTGCATGTATGTGCATTCCTGTGTGCACAGGTATGTATCTCAGCTTTTGAGACAAGCTCTCACTAGGACCTAGAGATCTCTGACAAGACTAAGCATCGCCTGGGATCTCCTCCCTCTGTCTTCCCAGCGCTGGAACCACAGGGGCATGTCACCATACTTAGCTTTTTTCATAGGTTCTGGGAACTAAACTTGGGTGCTTGGAGCTTGCATAGCAAGTGCTTTACTGAATGAGCTGTCTCTCTATCCCCAACTGTTCTTAAAAAACAAAAACAAAAACAAAAAACAATAGCATGTGCTTAGGTAACCAACGCATAGAGCTTGCCCAGTGACTCTTCATACTTGTTATGTTTTCTGGAAAAATAGGGGATGTTCCTTAGTCCTGTGACCCAAACATCTCTGTGCAGCCTGGTGTCAGTACATACATTTGGAACACCATCTTTCACGAACGTGTCCCAATCTCTTTGAGTGCTTGAGGGATTCACCCATCTTTTTGATGGTGAATTCTTAGTCACTTCTGTTCTCTATATAATCTCTTCTGAAAGGCCCAAGTAACGCCAAAGAGGGTAAGGGATTGTGGGAGGGGAAAACCTAACAGAACTGTTTACAACCTGCATGAAGAATAGAGTGACTTTGCATCCTAAGTTGGCATAACCAACTACATAGCAAAGTGTGTCTTCATCCAAGTCTCCCCCCACCACCTGAATGCAGTACTAGGGATGGAACCCAGGGCCTTCACATGTTAGCTAAATGCTCTGCCTCTGAGCTGCAGCCCCCGTGTCCTGAAAGTGTTTAGAGAGGTTTCTCTCTGATCTGGCCCTCCTTTGTCTGAGAAAGGCAGATTGGCAAGTTTAGTATTTGGGCACCATCACGACCCTGCACTCTTCCTCTGCTGACAGCCACTGACCTATAGCTACTCCTTGAGACTATGGTTTCCATCACAGCTGTGCATCTATCTGATGTCTCTGAGGGAGCTGTGAAAACGCCCATGTCCTGCTGCCACTCCACACTAATTAAAATAGGGCCTTGGTGGTCAGCCCAGATATGAGGAAGATTTTCCCCAGGGGTTTGAGGGGATCAGTGGGTTCCATCCCAAGTGAAGCTGAGGAACAATTGCTCCTCAAGAGCCATTATCCCACACCCACAGCTGTCCACTGGACCGTGTTAACTGTGTGTTAGAAGGAGGCTTTAATGGATGATGTCTTTAATCCTTGAAGCCACTTTTGAAACCAGTGTCTGTGTTCACAGAGTGAGACAAGGGCTTAGCAACAGGCAATCTTCCAAGCCACAGGGGCCTTCTCCCTAGCAACACTCTCACAGGGGGCCTTCTCCCTAGCAACACTCTCTCATCTTTAGTTTTCTTTCTGGGTCTCCGTGGTCCAAGCTGGTCTTGAGCTAGCTATGTTCCTGAATTTCTGACCCTTCTATCTCCACCTCCTGAGTGCTGGGGTTGACAGGTGTGCACCAGTTTTATGCAGTGCCAGGAGTTGAATCCAGGCCTTCAAGCAGCTGTGCAAACACTATATCCATATCTATGGCGCTCTACTCTCTGAGCTACACCTCCATCCCTTGTTTAGAAGTGACCATCTTTTTTATTTGGAGAGCAGGCCTGTACTGTTTTCCAGCAACATTTATGTCCCGGCTTCCTCTTCCCTCCAAGAATTATCCCTGCCACTTCTGAAATACAGCTAGAAGTGACATGTGCTTGTACCTCCTTCCCTGGAGCAGCAAAATCCTCATTTATTCTATTTGGCAAATACATATTTAATTTCTTTTTATAATATTATTTAGTTTTAATTTTTAATTATGTGTATGTGTGTGGCAGTGGGTGGGGCTATGTGTCTGTGAATGCAGGTGCCCAAGGAGACAGACATGGGCATGAGCTCCCCTGGAGCTAGAGTTACAGGAGGTGGTGAATAACTGCTGTGTCATCTTACCAGCCCCTATCTGTTTAATTTCCAGAGAGAATCTGTCTTTGGAGGAAGGGCTGGTTCCTTGTCCTTACAGTAGCTGTCATGTATCAATGCCTACTGTATACCCAAGCCTTTCTATCATCAGGAGAGCTCATGCCTGATGATTTCTTGTTCTCAAGTCTCTGTTTCTTCCTCAAGGCATCTCAAAGTTTGTCCTTCCAGATAGAATATTGCATGAGATGTGAGAAGTAGTTAAAGTATGGGGGAGGGGATAAATATAAAGTTTATGATTTTCTTTTCAATCTCTTAGGGTCTTTGTGTGTGTGTGTGTGTGTGTGTGTGTATGTATGTATCTATATATACATACATATATATATATTTAATTTTTTACATTTAAATCCCAGTTCCTCCTCCTCCCTCTCCCCTGCCCTCCTCTCCTTCCCCTATCCTACCTCCCATCTGCTCCTCAGAGAGAGTAAAGCCTCCCCTAGAATGTCAACTAAGTCAGACAGGGTTTTTCTGAGTAGTCCTGGCTGGCCTGGAACTCACAGAGATCTTCCTGTCTCTGCCTTCCTAGTGCTTGGATTAGAGGTGTGTGTCACCGAGCCTGACATAGCTTATGAGTTTAGTAGGTAGTTTGAAATCTTCTCATGTATCAGTTCATATGGATCCCAGTTTTGCTTTTGCGCCTTATTCACTGAGGCGGGGTCTAATCCTTCCAGGCAGCTTGCTCTGTGGAGCCTGTGATACCTTTTGAGGCTATCACACTCACACAGCATTTACACAGGATCAGGGGTGGGGGATGGAGTCTGAATTTAATTCCTCTCATACTCATTTGGCAAATGCTTTAGCCACTGAGCCATCTCCCCAGACCCCAATTTTATTTGCATTTGATTCAGACCTGGTTACTCAGGCTAGCAAATGCTTTATCGGCTGAGACATCTCCCTACCCTGTCCCTGTTGAAATTTCTTACTTTCCTATAGCCACCACGCAGTGGCATCTTGTGTAGTAATGTATCATCTTATAGTAAGGTCACATCCCTACAGCTTTCCAAGCTTCCAATCTTTAAACCCAAATGCAGACTCTGGAAACAGAGTTGTGTCGTTGACACGCTCAGTGGACGTGTCCACAGAGTGGTACCACCAAGGGCTTTGGTGAGTGACTTTCTATTACTTCTTCCCCACTATCTTCGCCTCCCACTCGTGTTTTTACCTTCTGTTAGTAAATAATACCTAGAGGACTGAAATGGGGAAGGCTGCCTTTCTGGGGTGGGAACCAGTTTTTTTTTTTTTTTTTTTTTTTGGTAAGGCCCAGGCTAGAAGCTGGTGCACTCCTCGGCCTGCCTCCAGCTCCCTGCATACCCCGAGGCTGCTGGCCATACTTCAGACAGAGTCTCTGTGAGTGAAGAAGACAGATAAAGCAGAGGCATGATAAGGAGGCTATAAATTCCGAAAGTCAGCTTTCTGCCACTAGCCATGACAGATACGCTTTTTGTTTTCAGATATGCATACGTAGCAGGCAGACTGGTTTTCTTTCTTTTCAAGAACTTTTGAGGGGTTGTGCAATCACAATGACATCTTCACATGCTAGGTTTGGTGTTAAAAGCTGCCAGGGAGGCCAGTGAAATGGCTTAGTAGAGAAGGGTACTTGCTGTCAAGCCTCACAACCTGAGTTCAAGCCCCAGATCCTACATGGTGGAAGAGGAAGCAGTCCTGCAGTTTGTTTTCTGACCTTCACAGGATGTGGCATGCAGGCACCTGTGCACATGCACAAGAAGACTAAATGTAAATTTAAAAAACTGTCAGGAGCAGAGGGATGTGTGCACAAGCACGAACTGGTCCAGGAACCCTCAACCTGGCCAATGGCCCTCCAGGGAAAAGCACAGATGGATAGAGGTTGGCTTTATCAACTCTTGCTGGTGCTTTCAGCTGAACAGCCTTTCTTTTCCTGTAAAGGGTAACACTGTAGGAGGAAGAGATCCCTGGGATTTGCCAGCCAGCCTACCCTACTTAATAAGTTCCAGGCCAGAGAGAAACACTGTCTTAAAACAATAACACCAGCAACAACAAAACAAACAAACAAACAAAAAACAGGCTTAGTGGATAAAGTTCTCGCTGTATACCTATCTAAAAGTAAAAGCCAGGTGCCTCAGAGGCAATGCCTATCTGGAGCCTGAACAGTGGGTCCAGATTCCTAACCGGACAGTCTAGCCTAATCTGTTGATTCCAGGCCAGTGAGAGATCCTGCACTAAAGGTGTGTGCTGGGAGGGGGTTGGCACCCAAGGATTGACACCCAGGGTTGTTCTCTGGCCTCCACACATCTGTACACACTTGCATACACCCAGAACAACATTGTGTGAGCAATGAGAAATGGCTGTTCTGGACTATTCCAAAGAAGGCTGTGGAACACTTACATGATGTTGCCAATGCAGTAGGAAAATAAAGGGAGCATTGCTTGTGTGTGTCAGGCCCCTGGCTAACCTGTGGCCTCTCTGTCACCCTGCAGGTGTCAGCAGAAACCAGCCATGTAAGGAAGGTTGCTCTTGCTCCTCTTGTTTGCCCCGGGTCCCCACCATCAGCGACTTGCTCAATGATCAGGACTTGTTAGACGTGATCAGGATAAAGCTGGATCCGTGTCACCCAACCGTGAAGAACTGGAGGAATTTTGCCAGCAAATGGGGCATGCCCTATGACGAACTCTGCTTCCTGGAGCAGAGGCCCCAGAGCCCCACGTTAGAGTTCTTATTCCGGAACAGCCAGAGGACTGTGGTCCAACTGATGGAGCTCTGCCGACTTTACCACAGGGCTGATGTAGAGAAGATCCTGCGCAGGTGGGTGGATGAGGAGTGGCCCCACCGGGGACACTCGGACAATTCCATGCACTTCTAGAATCCCCTTCTGGCATTAGCCTTTCTGCTTGCTGGACCAGCATGGGTCACAGGGAGTATGTACCTGCTCTTAAGATTTTCAGATGAGGATGTGGAATGGGCAGTGGTTTTCCCTGAAGCTGGTGGCTTGTGAAAGGATGGGTTCTGTTTTGGTGGCAGGTATTTGTTTCTTTTTGCACATCTGTTTTAATTTAATATTTGAGTGTGGGATTAGGGAGGAATATTTTATAGGTTGCATAGCGCCAAATCATACATATGGTTGGGACAGAATCATGCCAGCATGGAAAGAAAACAACCCTCTCCCTAGATACTGCTAAAGATTGAAGCGGGATCCCAAGCTGTTGGTATCTCTGGACATACCCACGTCATCCTGTGCAGAACCTTTGCATTCTCGGCCTAGTGGAAGATAACATGGAGAAGTTACCCTGACCTGTTCACTGTTACTGTTTCTGTCAAAAAGGATTTGGAGATCAAGAGGATACTGTATGATGTGGTCTGGATACAAAGGCCGTCTTTACTATTCAAACACTTTTGTAATCTATGGGCTATCAATACTGTCATTGGATTTAGTATTTTTAAAAGAAATACAAAATGTATGGTTTGTAGGGGAGCAGAATGGATTAGTGTCATGGGAATGGCATTAACAAAGACTAGTACTCAGTGTTCCCTCTTGGGGGCCGGGGAGATGGCTCAGTGGTTAAAGTGCTAACTGCACAAGCATGAGGACTGATTTCAGGTCCCCAGAACCAACATAAATGAAGGGATGGTGCGGCAGGCTACCTGTGAATCCAGCACTCAGAAGGGAGAGATAGAGATCCCCAGAGCTAGCTAAGACTAGTCACGTGATTGAGCGCTGGGATCAATTGGAGACTCTTTTTCAATGAACAATATAGAGATTGAAGAAAAATTTCAATAGCAGCCTTGGAACTCTGTACACATACATGTACATGTGTATTTGTACCCACATGCAACAACAACACCAACACACACACACACACACAATGCCTTCTTGTTTCTGTGCCTCACTTTTTTGGTGCTAGGGATGGAATTGAAGACCTTGAACATGCTCAACCAGGGCTCTACCACTGAGCTACACCTGCACCCCTGTCATTCACGTATTTTCTTATTCTGCTCTCATACACTACATCCCAGTTGCAGTTTCTCCTCCCTCTGTTCCTCCCAATTCCCCTCCACACATGTCTTCTCTTCCTAAAATCCACTCCTCCACTCCCCTCCAGAAAAGAGCCAGCCTCCTAGGGATATCAAGCAAGAATGGCTATGTTTCCAAAAAATATTTTCTTTAAGCAAAATTTCCATCTGTGATGGTCTGTGATGAGGCTAAATGTAGTGTACATTTTATTGGGTTGCAATAGTGCAGAGTCAAATGAAAGGGAAGGACTCAAAGCCACACAGGGACAGATTACATGTTCTGAGGCCCCACACTAGAGGAGGCAGACAAAAACATGGTATGCAATATTAGCATGGTGAGGGTCTAACTAGTCAGGGCTTACAGCTGTGCTAGGATTCCCCAAAAGACCCTGTACAAAGCAGCCACCTACTTCTGTAGCAATGAATAGTAAAACTCAATAATACAGGAAATCTAGCCAAAGACTGCAGTTCATCCTGAACAGTAATTTTTTAATACAGTGCTTCCCCCTGCTGGAAGATACACTCTAAATCAATTTCCTTTTAGAGTCTGGCTTGGTTAGGTGCCTTCCAAGCAGCCCCACCAAGACAGAAAGAGAAAGGGAATGACTATTCTGTCATTCGGCACACATAGACACTTTATAAGGATGGCATGCTGAGATGGGGGCTCCTGGCTCCAGGATGTGCCAGGCACAGTGGCTGCAGAAGAGTCTCGTGGCCTAGTAATCACCAATCAGCACCTAGATGAACTTGTCCCCACAGGATGAAGGCACAGTTGTGTCTGTTAGGTCCCTTCCTCTTCCAGATTAGCACCCAAGAAAACCATGATGCTGGAGTCTTCCCCTCACTTGTCTTCAACCATCTACATTACAAAAAGGTGTGTTTCTAAAGACAGGATTAATAACAAAGATGAAACAGATTTTTCTCATCTGTCCTCCCCTTTTAAGGTGATAAAACAGATCTCATTTGGTTTTTAGTGAAGCCTTTCTTTCCTCTACCTCTGGGCAAGTGGCACAGACAGCAACATCATATCCTCAAATGGGAGGAAAATTTCAAAGCAGGAACAATGGGATTGATTGATTGATTGAGAGAGAGAGAGAGAGAGAGAGAGAGAGAGAGAGAGAGAGAGAGAGATGCATATCTCAAATCACCTTCCTCCACTGGCCAACAGCATTCCCCTTCTGAACTGCAGCAAACATCTGCTTCTTGTTCTCATGTGTGCACACAGAAACAGCAATGCTGTGGACTTAGCAATGCCAAACCATTCTCTACTCTGGGTGCTACAAAACCAAAGGCTGATGCCAACTCTCATAACACACACCTTCGGAGGGCACAACACCTGCTTATGCCCAGGCAGTGACTAAGAAACATTTGCAGTCTTATTGCTGCCTGGGAAGACCCCACCCTGGATCTCCTGAGTACTTGGTTATAAATGCACAAGGAAGGGTGAATCTTGCCTCTATTGTGTTTAGAGAGAATCAAAGCCAAGATGCTGGGCCAGGTGCTGGGGCTACTGAAGTCCCAGTGCTGGTGGATGGAGCACCAGTGGACACCCAAGACCTAGACTTGAAGGACCTGGTGGAGCATGGCCTGCTGCCTTCCTTCCTGTGCCTGTGGAGGGGAATGTCTCTGGGAATTATGTCTGCCAGGGGATCCCCAGGCGATCAGGTGTACTGAAGGGACTGAAGTAGTCAGTGATGCAGCTGGAACGAAATGATGAAATCATCCAGCTCTCTTGGAGGTATAAGGAGGAAGCATCTCAATACTTCCTGGGTACTCTATGCACTTCCATTCTGTGTGACAGTTTAGTAACCAGTCTCCTGCTGCACCCCCTTGAGAGCTTATGCTAGACATTTCAACATATAAGGTGAAGCATCTTTAATCCCTGTGTCCCCCAATGCCATCTGTATACCTTGGTGCTATCCCTGTGACTATCTACGTTTTCATCTTCTGTATGATTCTGGTTTTTGTATGAATAAGGAAAGATTTTTATACCTGTAATAATGGGTGCTATAAGATTAAAGTCTGGTGTCAACTGCTGTTCCAATGGCTGCCTCATTTTTGAATGTTTATGTGTTTTTGGGAAGGGGGTGTTTTGCATGTGTATGCATTGCATGTAGAGGCTGGAGGACAACCTTGGTGTCAGCCTCATGAACACACACCATTCATGTCCTTTGAGACAAGGTCTCTCATTGGCCTGGAGCTCACAAATTAGGTCAGGCCATCTGGGCAATGAGTCTAAGAGATCTTCCTGTCTCTGCCTCCCCAGTGTGGGAATAACAAGGGTATGCCACAATGTCTAGCATTTTTATATAGGTTATGGGGATCAAACTCAGGTCCTCATCATCAAATAAACATCTCTTTACTGGCTGAGCCATCTCTTAAGTCCTACTTTGTGTAGATTTCAATGTGATCATCAGCTCATGTCTTGTTAGCACCATCATCCATTATTTGAACACCCAGTGGTTTGCTGAAATGTGTCCCAGATGCTGGAGATGTTAAGATAAACAACACAGCCCTGTACTCCAGGACCTATAGACAAGCCAAGTCACTGAAGGAAAGGACTGACAGGACTGGAGAATGTGGGAAAAGGTGGTCCAAGGAAAAGATGGTCCAGGTACACTGCACAGGAGGAAGGATGAGCAGTTAGCCTTCTGGGAGAGTCTCCAGTGTACGTCTGTATGTGAAAAGCTGTTTTACCATTCCTGCCTGCCTCTTCTGACCCAGTCCATCCTCTAAGTTACCTATGGGCTTAACATCTCTGACTGGAGCCTTATCAACACCTCAGACTCAACCTGATCCTTTATTCATCCTCATAGTTTTGTGTCCCACCAGAGTTCCCTGTGTCATTCAGGGAGCCCACCAGCAGCTCAGGGATCATTAGGACTCTCCTCCTCTTCCTGGTCTATTTCTCTTTGGGTTGTTTTTGAAACAACCTCTGCCATCTGAGACAATGTCATGCATCTGCGTGTGTGTATGTGTGTGTGTGTGTGTGAGAGAGAGAGAGAGAGAGAGAGAGAGAGAGAGAGAGAGAGAGAGAGAGACCATGAGCACACATATACAATATTACAGGTACACATGGTATGCAGGTATACATGCATGTGGAGGTTAGAGGTCAATCTCCAGTTCTCTAGAATTTATTTTGTTTTAGTTTTGGGTTGGTTTTTGTTTTGTTTTGTTTTTTGTTGTTTTTGTTTTTTCAAGACAGAGTTTCTCTGTGCAACAGTTTTGGCTATCCTGGAACTCACTCTGTAGACTAAGCTGGCTTCATATTTACAAAAATCCACCTGCCTATGCCTCCTGAGTGCTGGGATTAAAGGCATGTGACACCACCTCCCAACACACCTTGTTTTTTTTTTTTTTTTTTTTTTTTTTTGAGACAGGATTTCTTCTTGGCCTGAGCTGGCTGGCTAGCAAAGACACACACACACACACACACACACACACACACACACACACACACACACAGAGAGAGAGAGAGAGAGAGAGAGAGAGAGAGAGAGAGAGAGATTCCTGTGCCTGCCTGGCAATTGCTAGGATTAGGATTACCACATCTCACCATGCAGTTTATCTAGCTACTTTATAATGGGAACTGCCTCTCTTTCTTTAGACCAGTGGTTCTCACCTTTCCTAATGCTATGGCCCTTTAGTGCACTTCCTCATGTTGTGGTGACTTTACCCCCACCATAAAATTATTTCCTTGCTGTTTCATAACTGTAATTTTGCTACTGTTATGAATCATAATGTAGATATCTGATCTGGGAACCCACAGTGGTCCCGCCCACAGACTGAGAACCACCACTTAGACTCACTACCCCTCTGCAGCTTATCTTTCATGTGTCTGCTAAACAAATGCCTTGGTACCTGCTTGAATTCCTTGTTCTCCTCATTCTCTCATCACATCCAGAAAAAATTATCTCTGTCAGTTTAAATGAGGAAGACTCTTGGTGACTCTATCCAGGGACCTAACATATGTCTGTTCTGGAACTATCACAGCTTGACTTAAGCCACTAGCAATGATCATGGTTGCCTAATTACAGCTCAGTGTGAAATGCAATTTCAAAACAAAGAAAAAATTAAGAAAAAAAATGCAGTCTAAGTAAAACATGCCCTTGGGACTTCGAAGCAGAAGTGTGTTCCAGTCCACAATGGATTCACCTTTAGTCTTCAT